AGCATCAGCAGCAGCATCATCAGCAGCAGCAGCATCATCATCGTCAGCAGCAGCATCATCAGCAACATCATCATCATCAGCAGCATCATCATCATCAGCATCATCATCAGCAGCAGCAGCAGCAGCAGCATCATCATCAGCATCATCAGAATCAGCAGCATCATCAGCAGCAGCATCATCATCAGCATCATAATAATCAGCAGCAGCATCATAATCAGCAGCATCATCGGCAGCATCATCGGCATCATTAGCAACAGCATCAGCAGCCGTGGTCAATCGACTACTGGATGAAGACCTCCCCAAGGCGCCTCCACCATAATCATCACGACGATCCTGACTACTCCCATCATCATTATCTTCACGATCATCATCTCTATCATCATCATCATCACCACCTAGACTATCATTATTACTCCTAATCATAATCATCACGACGATTCTGACTACTCCCATCATCGTTATCTTCACGATCATCATCTCTATCATCATCATCATCATCACCTCGACTATCATCATTACTCACAATCATCATCTGCACGACGATTCTTAACATCATCGCTACTGCCTTCAACAATCATCGGGCACCATCGTCTGACAGCGCTTCACCATCGGCCACGGTCGATCCACTCTCGCGATGCTGTCGATGCATCGATACGCGCGGCGATTCCGCTCCGCCCACACACGGCACACGACTCTCGGGACACGCGTTCCATCCTTTGGCTGCCACTCCGTGATGAGTCTCGACCACCGCGCCGTGCGCTGGTCCTGGAGGATGGTGGTGGTGATGGTGGTGGTGAGGATGGTGGTGGTGATGGTGGTGAGGATGGTGGTGGTGGTGATGGTGGTGATGGTGGTGATGGTGAGAATGGTGATGGTGATGATGGTGATGGTGAGGATGGTGGTGGTGATGGTGAGGATGGTGATGGTGGTGATGGTGAGGATGGTGGCGGTGATGGTGGTGAGAATGGTGGTGATGATGGTGGTGATGGTGGTGGTGAGGATGGTGATGGTGAGAATGGTGGTGGTGAGGATGGTGATGGTGAGGATGGTGGTGGTGGTGATGGTGATGGTGAGGATGGTGGTGATGGTGAGGCTGGTGATGGTGATGGTGAGGATGGTGGTGATGGTGATGGTGAGGATGGTGATGGTGAGGCTGGTGATGGTGGTGATGGTGGTGGTGGTAATGGTGAGGATGGTGAGGATGGTGGTGGTGAGGATGGTGATGGTGAGGATGGTGATGGTGGTGATGGTGAGGATGGTGATGGTGAGGCTGGTGATGGTGAGGATGGTGATGGTGGTGAGGATGGCAAGGATGGTGATGGTGAGGATGGTGATGGTGAGGATGGTGGAGGTTAGGATGGTAGTGGTGGTGGTGGTGAGGATGGTGAGGATGGTGATGGTGGTAATGGTGAGGATGGTGGTGGTGAGGATGGTGATGGTGAGGCTGGTGATGGTGGTGGCGAGGATGGTGATGGTGAGGATGGTAATGTTGAGGATGGTGATGGTGAGGCTGGTGATGGTGGTGGCGAGGATGGTGATGGTGAGGATGGTAATGTTGAGGATGGTGATGGTGAGGCTGGTGATGGTGGTGGCGAGGATGGTGATGGTGAGGCTGGTGATGGTGGTGGTGAGGATGGTGATGATGCCGCTTGAGAAGCACGTGTTCTCTAATCCACGTCCTCTGTGTGTATCTCTCAGTGTAAGTTCCCAGCATGTCATATATTAGTACAGCATTATCATTAAGGTCTCAATATTTTAGTTTCTTATTTTTATTATTATTTAAGGTGATTGTGTCAAAAATATTTTTTTTTGTAACTAAAACATTTTGACTGTGGATATTAATGACGACGACATTTTTTTTTTTATAAAAGGGCTCCATCCAGCAGTCGACTGATAAAGGACTGCATTTTAAAATTATATTAACAATACATTTACTTTAATATTCTCCTGATTATAAGACGCACTTTTCAATTGTGCATTTCAAATCAAAAGTTGGGGGTGCCTGCTATAATCCGCGAGCTTCGTGTACGACCACGTGTTTTTTAAAAACCGCTTTCATTCACACAGGGCACACGTTTAGAGATGTGTCTTACTGTTCAGCGAGTCTTATAATCAATATCGTAATTAATATAATGATTACGGCACGCGGGAAATAAAGAACACATATAGTTACACTGAGATTACATAGCAATATACATACGTTTTAATAGATATATGTACATTCATACACGCACAAAGACCAACATACACATAGCGCCTTTCACCAATTGTCGTGGCAAGTGTTGTTAGCGAGCACCTATTAAGGCCAGCAACACGCCCGACCACCTTTGTATCTCAATTTCCCAATGCTGATTGTTCGCGCAAAGCACCAGGTACTCATTTGAGGCCGAGTTGATCTAGGAGAGGCCCACGACAGGTTCAGATAATCGCCACTGGTGTTGGCAGTGAGCGGGAATCGAACTCGGATCGCCGGGTTCGTAGGGCGGCGCGCTAACCACTGCGCCACCGCTCGCTCCCCAGATACGTACAAATACAAAGATCCCCCGTATAGCCTTAACAGACTGTTGGGGCAAGTGCTGTTAGCGAGTAGCATTTGTGAATGCCGGAACGGCACCCGTGGGTAGTGGATACATACACACATATACATACACACATATACATACAGATACACATATACATACACACAAATATATACACACATATACATACACATTTATACATACACACACACGTGTACATACACACATACATACAGAGACACACATACATACAGAGACACGTATACATACACACACGTATACACACGTGTACATACACACACGTATACATACACACACATACACACGTATACATACACACATTTATACATACACACATATACACGTATAAATACACACATATACATACAGAGACACGTATACATACATACACATATACGTACATGCACGTATATACACACACATATACATGTATATACAGGTAAACATATACGTATACTTGTATACATACACATATGCACGCACTTATATAAAGACAAAGATCCCCCGTATAGCATGAACAGACTGTTGGGGCAAGTTCTGTTAGCAAGTAGCTCCATTGAAGGCCGGCACGGCACACGAGGGGGTTGGGTGTACATACGTGTGTACATGCACGTGTGTACACACACGTGTGTGTACATACACACACGTGTACATACACACACACACACATATATATACATACACACACGTATACATACACGCTGGCGTACATACATACACGTATACATACACGCGTATTCATACACATGTATGCATACATACGCACACGTATACAAGTCTGTACACACGCTTATATTACACATATATACGAGACATACGTACACTCGCGCGAACCTAGGGGCAGCCCTGGTTAATATCCGTGAACGCTCGCGGCTTCACTCAAAGTGGCCGTGACAGAGTCGGTCACTCTGTGTCGGCGGCGCGAGTGGTCCAAAGTTACCCCCCCCCCTAAAAGAATGTTTATTAAATTTAAATATATACTGGGATTAAACAGCCACGCAACATCGCTCATCGCCTCCCCACCGGCAACCATATTTGGATATCTGCGGGGAAAAAAGCTTTATAGCTCATCGGATTCCTCCAGAATAAATATTCAGATGTTTGCCTCCTCGATCATCACTCTCGAAAGCGATAGACTCTAACCCCGGCTGGTCTCTTGGCTTTTCTTCTCGATGAAGACAACGTACATGGACGTGTAACGCATCCACACATACTCGGATACACGCGTGCAAGTGTTTGTGTGTGTTTATATATATACATTTAAATAACAACTGGACTGGCGAAAATGATAAGGAATTACAATGATGGTCTAAATGGGCCTAATTACATGCAACAAATATAGTAGGAGTACAGTACAACATCAAGTACAAATATAGTATATTTATATAAAAAATATAATACGAATCTCTGTCCCCCCCCTCTCTCTCTCTGCTTCTTGTTGTGAGCAAAGTACACATTTGCCATCACCGAAAATTATCAAAATTTCAAAACCGAAGTGAATGACACCGCGGATATCTGATCGGATTCACGGACAAGAAGTTTTTGTTTTTCGCTCAGCCGACAACAAAAATCAAAAATCGCTGCCGCTTCGCCACCTGTCACCATCGGTGCACCGAGTAATTCGCCGCCCTGTGGAGTGGGACGCTAAAGCTGATAGAAAGCGGGACGGGGGAGGGGGCTCACTAATTTTGGGGGGGGTGGCCGAGTCGACCTAGGAGAGGCCCACGACGCGATGCAAGGTAATTCGCTCGGCTAATTCGGCCGTGCATCGCACGTACCGATATACATTCGTAACTCCACCCACCTACATGCATACGTACAAACGCGCGCACACCGATAACCGCGTACAAAGATCACCCGCATAGCATCTAGCAGACTGTTGGGGCAAGTGCTGTTAGCGAGCACCTATGAAGGACGGATCGGCACACGAAGGGATGGGTGGCCAGCACCACGCCCGGCCGCCTTTGTGGCCGTGAGCGGGAATCGAACTCGGTTCGCCGTCTACGTAGCCCAGTGCGCAAACCACTGCACTACCGCCCCCCCCCCCCCCACCATACACAGACACACACACATACCAACACAGCTACACACACACACACACACCTACACACAAAAGACAAATATACTCCGCCCCGTATAGCCTGAACAGACTATTGGGGCAAGTGCTGTTAGCGAGCAGCACCTATGAAGGGCGGCACGGCATGGCCAACACCACGCCCGGTCGCCTTTGTCTCCCCAATGGAGATGTTTACACACCGCACCAGGTACTCATTTGAGGCTGAGTCAACCTAGGCGAGGCCCAGGGTGGGTTCAGATAATCGCCGCCGGTGTTGACCGCGAGCGGGAATCGAACCCCGCGGACGTCGAGTTGGTAGCGCAGCGTGGCGCTGACCGCTATCCCACCGCTCCCCGCCACACACACAACGCGCACGCACAGGTAAGCCCACCGCTTCGACTCACCTGTTGCGGCGGCAAAGTCGAGAGGCGATGCGGGGGGTGTAGGGGGTGGTGGTGGTGGCAGGTGGCGGCGTTGGGGGGGGGGGAGACACAAGGGGATGGAGGGAGGGGGTCGTTGAAGGTGGGGGGGAGGGAGGGGGTGGTTTTCTTGACACTGAGTTCCACTCTTCCCCGTGGAGTGGAGCGAGAGCGCGAAGTGAGAGTCGCAGAGAGTTGGGGAGGAGGAGGTGGAGGAGAGTCAGCGACGGGGGGAGATCGACTCACGACTCACACACGGCCCTGACATGGCGAGCGGGGCGAGAGAGAGAGACACACACACAGGGAGAGAGAGAGAGAGGAGAGAGTCACGGGGAGAGAGAGAGAGAGAGGAGAGAGACACGTGGAGAGAGAGATCGCGAGGCAGGGAGAGTGCCACGGGGAGTGGCAAACGGGGAGAGTCCGGAAGAGTGAGAGACAGGGAGAGGCACGGAGTGAAAGAAGAGAGACACCACGAGAGAGAGAGACACACACACAAGGAGGGAGGGAGGGGGGGACACGGGGGGAGAGAGGAGAGAGATACGTGGAGAGAGAGAGCGCGTTGGCTGTGTTCGCAAAGGGCGTCGTAGTAAGAATGCCTCCTCCTCGCGAGGAGACATGAATTTTTTCACATCGGCTCTCTCCCTCCCTCTCTCTCTCTCCCCACCTCTCTCTCTCCCTGTCGCTCCCCTGAGCGCCGTTGCAGAACCGCGAGGCCGCACAAAAACGAAACAGCCACAGCCATTAAAACACCCCCACCGCCCATCCCCTCTATCACCAATACCCCCCATTCCTTAGACCCCCTCGACCCCTCCCTCTATCCCCCTTCATCCCCCATCCCCCCTATCCTCAATACCCCCTCCCCTCTATCCCCTATACCCCCTCATTTTATCCGCTCGACCCCCTCCCCTATTTCCATCTCTCCTGAAGTAGAAGATTAGCGATGGGCAGATTCACATTTATGCAATTCCGAATTTGTCGCTGTGATCCCTACCCCGCGTATCGATAGTTCAATTTTAATGTGCAAATGCCATTGAGGGAATGCGTGCGCTGTCGTCTCGCTGTGCTCTGTTGTTGTTGTTTTGGTATCTTGCCCCAAGCAGGGATTTGGTGTTGTAATATCGGCAGAAATTTGATGTACTGATGCAACTTTTACTCGTGAATTCATGCTCAATTAAAGTGACGTGTTGACTTTTTGTCTACGTTGCACTCATATCTCTTGTTGTTGTTGTGTTGTTGATTGTTGCGACTTGCTTATCCCGCTCCAACTGCACACGAGTGAGAAAGAGCTTTACAGCTAATCGGATTCTTCCTCGCAGCCTTTCTACAGCTTTGGAATTGAAGATGCATTTTGAACTTCAGACTTTTACTTATTTAGTTAGTTAGGGGCGCGCCACGGTCGTGAGATGTTAGCTCCCTCGCCTGGTGTGCAGGAGGTCGTGAGTTCGATTCAGACCCTGACGCCTGCTGCTGTTTATTTGGAGTTTGGGTGTCTCTCTCGTCATCATCACGTTGGCGAGGAAATGTTAACTACCTCGCCTGGTATGGAGGAGGTCGTGGGTTCGATTCAGACCCTGACGCCTGCTGCTGTATATTTGGAGTTTGGGTGTCTCTCTCATCATCACGTTGGCGAGGAAATGTTAACTACCTCGCCTGGTATGCAGGAGGTCGTGGGTTCGATTCAGACCCTGACGCCTGCTGCTGTTTATTTGGAGTTTGCGTGTCTCTCTCGTCATCATCACGGTGGCTAGGAGATGTTAACTACCTCGCCTGGTATTCAGGAGGTCGTGGGTTTGATCCCGACAATGACGCCTCCTGCTGTATATTTGGAGTTTGCGTGCCTCTCTCTCCCCGTTGGTGCGTGGATTTTTCTCCGGGTCCTCCGGTTTCCCCCTCCACATTTAGAAACGTGCGTTTAGACTATTTAGATAATCTTGCTGCTATAAATGTCCAAATGATGGGCCACTTTGTTGAGCCATCATTTGTGGCCAGGTCGCTTTTGAACAATAAGTTGATACTTCAGTGGGCTTTGTCTGGTAGGATGGGGATGGATTAGTGTTGTTGTGTTTGTTTGTGTTTAGGTGATTTCTTTACCTTGCTTGTACTTTGCATTCCTATCCTGGTTTTTGTACCGCTTGTTGTTGTCACGTTCTTACCCGCCCACGACTGTACATCTCTGAAAAAGAGCTTTACAGCTCACCGGATTCCCCCTCCCCCCCTCCAGTATAAATAAATACTCTGATTCTGAAATAAACGTTTCGAGTCGGGGGCCTTGAATAGGTGGCGTGACGTCATCGACGTGCCCCCCCCCCCACCCCCGCACAGGTGAGAATGAAGTGATCGCTTCCAGTTGATGCGTCCACGTAACAAGTTGGAATGTCACATTCTTGGGTTTTTTCGGTAAAGTAACGTAGGTAAAAAAAATAAAAAATAAATTTAATAAAAGTAAAAAAAAATCACGACGTTTTGGAGGCAACTAAGAAACCACTGCGTTAGATAATGCTACATTATGCCAGATATGTTACTAGAAAGGTATACGGTATATATATAAAAACTCAAGCGGTAAGTATAACCCATTCATCACAGTTAATTAGTCGTACTGAGTGGTTAGTAATGTTAGAATAGTTCCTGTGTTAGTCTCAATGACATGATGCATTATTTGGTGACTGCGCAGGCAGCGACGCGTAAGCACAAATAACAACAACAACACTCATTTTACGTGCTACAACGAAGGGCCATAGCCCGAAACGTCGCCGCGTATTTACTTTTACTTCCAAGGCCACACGCGGCGCTATTGACGGAGCGAGTCGAGTTAGCGTTCATCATTAAAAGCCGCGCTGAACCGGTAACCACGTAACAACTACTTTGCAGTATTACACATGTACTTTTTTACGATTGAGGCTGCAGGAAAGGTTTGAGAACCACTTCTCTAGACCCTAAGCGAAACTCCTCCCCCACCCCCCCCAAGAGTCACAGACAATATAAATGCAAACACAGCACACACGCACACACACGCACACACGCACGCGCACACACACGCACACACGCACACACATGTAAACACGCACGCACACACACACACGTGCACACGCACACACACGCGCACACACGCACACACGTGCACACGCACACACGCGCACACACACGCGCACACACACACGCGCACACACGCACACACGTGCACACACACACGCGCACACACACACGCGCACACACACGCACGCACACACGCACGCGGGTTTTAACAGCCCCTGTCGGTCTCCATGCGAGTGGGGGGTGGGGGGTCTCTATGAACTGGGACGCAGCGACATGACCGGTGGGTGACTTCTCTCCGTGAGCCAATGGGCGCGCGAGGCGTTGGAACTCTCGCCTCTCTCTCGTCTGCTACCCCCCCCCGCCGCTTCTCCTCCAAACTCGCCGCATCGCCATCGGCCCACATTTGACCTCCGTCTCTATCCTCTTCTCTCATCTCACGAGGAGTTTCATCAATTGCCGGAGGAGTGGGGGGAGGGGGGAATGGGCCAACACCCCCCCCCCCCTCCCCCACCATCAGCTCTGGGTGTGAGTATAAACTAAACTATTTAAACACATTTTTCGTTATTTTATTCACCAGGAAAGGCCCACTGAGTTTTGTAGCTCTTTTTAAGAAGCGGCCTGACCACAAATGATAGCCAAACGAAGCGGTTAATCACGTGGACAAGTCTCGCAGGCAAATACCTCTGAACGCGTGATGTCTTTTCTAAAACGTGGAGGGGAAAAGCCGGACGACCCGGAGAAAAATCCACGCGACCACGTGGGAGAGAGAGAGCCACCGCAAACTCCAAATAAACAGCAGCAGGCGTCAGGGTCGGGATCGAAAACCACAACCTCCTGTACACCAGGCGAGGGAGTTAACATCTCCTAGCCACCGTGATGATGATGAGAGAGACACACACACTCCAAATATACAGCAGCAGGCGTCAGGGTCGGGATCGAAAACCACAACCTCCTGTATACCAGGCGAGGGAGTTAACATCTCCTAGCCACCGTGATGATGATGAGAGAGACACACACATTCCAAATTGACAGCAGCAGGCGTCAGGGTCGGGATCGAAAACCACAACCTCCTGTATACCAGGCGAGGGAGTTAACATCTCCTAGCCACCGTGATGATGATGAGAGAGACACACACATTCCAAATTGACAGCAGCAGGCGTCAGGGTCGGGATCGAAAACCACAACCTCCTGTATACCAGGCGAGGGAGTTAACATCTCGCCACTCGAGTATGGGACATGCGTGCAGAGAGAAAGACGCAGGAATGATCCCAGAGAATGCGGCAGAGGGAAGGGGGAGGAGGGCGAGGTGGTCGAGATGTAAGAGGAGCACCATGTGACGCATCGTGACACGTGGTCACTTAACACGTGGCGCATGGCACGTGTCACGCTCCCTCGCTCTCTCTGCACTTTCTCGCTCGCTCCCTTGCAAACTCCACTCTGTCCCCTCTTTCTCATCCTCTCTGCCCCTTCCTTTTTTTTTACGATCAGTGGAAACAAGAAGATGCTCGGTGTAGTCGGCACTTTGCTTCGTTCATCATTTTGTATTTTTTTTTAACTTTGCTTTATGTAAACCCCCACCTCTCGCTCACTCTCTCGCTCACTCTCTCGCTCACTCTCTCGCTCCCTCACTTTCTCGCTCACTCTCTCGGTCACTCTCTCGGTCACTCTCTCGGTCACTCTCTCGCTCACTCACTTTCTCGCTCACTCTCTCGCTCACTCACTTTCTCGCTCACTCTCTCGGTCACTCTATCGGTCACTCTCTCGGTCACTCTCTCGCTCACTCTTTCGCTTACTCTCTCGCTCACTCTCTCGCTCACTCTCTCGGTCACTCTCTCGGTCAATCTCTCGCTCACTCTCTCGCTCACTCTCTCGCTCACTCTCTCGCTCTCTCTCTCGTTCTGCACGCAACCCTTCTCGCAGTCCGACGGCCTGTCTCCCATTCTCTCACTCTCTCCCCCTTCCACCCTCTCTCCCAACGGGGCTTTAAACGCTCTCTCCGCGCGCTCTCTCTCTCGCTCTCTCAGGGCGCGCGTCTCTCTTTTCAAGTCCCAGTTTCATCCCCCTCGTCTCCCCTTGCGCTCGCATCGATCCCATCCCTCCCCCCACATCCTCCCATCCACCCCACCACCTCCCCCGCTGCCCTAAATCATCCCGCATCTCGCGTCTCCCGCTTTGATCGCCGAGTATCGACTCGGCACCCCAGCCGTCTCCTCCTCCCGTCTCTCAGCCTCTCTCCCCTCGTCTCGCCCATCCCTCTCCCGGCCCCCAGTCTCCCTCCCTCGCACCCCCACCACCCACCCCATCGCTTG